ATTTTATGTTGATGTGGCATAGTCTCTGGATTTGTTGTGTAATAGATTCAGTTGGACATACAATTATCAACCTTGGAACATCAATTGCATCCTCAATCAACTTCTCTGTTGCACATGTCGACTTTATTACCTCATCTTTTATTTCTTCTTTGTCATTGAGTTCAACTTGATCTCCTTCTTTTGTGATCGCATAATCATAATAATAATTAAGAGATGGTAGTTCTGTCATTAGAAACTCTTGGCTAAATTCAACATTTTGCTCTTGTTTCTCCTCTTCATCATCTTCTTCAAACTTTTTGATTCAAGTAATTTCAGTGACCTCTCCTTTATTAATTTCAACGTCCTCACCGTTGTTGAAATCAACTTGATTTTCTACTTCAATTGAATGTTTGTTTGAGTCTTCAAAATTTTCATACATTGAGGTACTCAAAATCCTTTCTTCTTCAATACGTGGTTGAGTGTGACAAATTTGTTGACTTACAAGACTTGATTGACCCAAACTTGGCAAAACCATAGTCATGTTCCCTGAATAATCTGTATCCATAATTGTATAATATTTATTGAATTGCGAAGAATATTGTGAATCAAACACCTTGGAACAATTGTTTCAGTTCAAGCTTTTTTTGATATTGTTGATACAATATTTGCGCATGATTTGATTGAAGGAATCTAGAACTAATCAACTTTTTTATCTTATGCCATGTCCTAATGGGTTTTTTATATTGTCGCCTTTGATCATATTGCAATTGTTCACACCCTGTAGAAACATAACCTTGTAATTTATGTGCGACATATTTGGCTTGCTTTTCTTAAGAAATTTCCATACACTCAAGAAATTTGTCAACTTTGCAAAACCAATAAATAAAATTCTTGGCATGACAAGAAGCATTAAAATAGGGAATTTCTAGCTGTACCAACTGATATTCACCATAATCTTCGAATAACTCATATTTAGATATGTCCTCGCTATCATATTGATAATGAGAAGATTGTCTTAAGACATTGTGGTTAGTAGGTTGGTTTGGGCAAATCCTATAGTGCGGTTCCTATTAACGTAATGACTAATAGGCTGGTCTTAGGCAAGTCCCTTGACTTGAATCCTATTAAATCTTTCTTTACGATCATTGTCAATAGAGCTTGTGATACCTCCTTTGATGAATGACATTGAATGCAGCGTTGTAGCAGAAGGAATGACTCTATGTTACCTAGAACGTGGATCGTTCTAATACGTGGAACAGGAACGGGAACGTTGTACGCCACATGCTATAAAATGTGGTGCGATAAGTATAGACTTATATATGTTACACTTAAGAATTTAAGGTACTTCTAAAGTAATTTTTTTTTAACTATTAGACATCCAATAGTTTTTTATTTTTATTTTTAATTTTAATTTTTAGTTTTTGATATTTTTGTCTTATCAAAACTTAACTCACCTTAGATTTTAATTCATTATATTTGATTTTTTTCTTCCTAAGGTAACATTTAAGAAATATGTTGGAGAAAAACTTTTGGGATCGCTTGGGATCGCTTCGGATCACTAAATTTACCATTTTGGAACGGAAGTATACCATATTTCAGAACGTGCATACCAATACATAATTTGCTAGGGTATTAGCGTTTTTTGGTAACATAGGAATGACTAAATATCGTTCTACTAGATGAAGGGAAAGATATCGTTCTTTGGACGGTAACAACTCAAATCCACGAGCAAGGATAAACAACCTTGCTCACAAGGAAAATAGAGGAAACGCTGACTATATTGATTAAAAGCTTGATTTGTCACATGGCTTACAAACATATTTATACTAGATAATAGAGACTCAAACGTTGATCTTCCCAACACAAAAATAAATACTCGAAACGCTCTCTTTGACTCTTGTGTCAAATTCAAAGAACCTAAATAAATACTAGAAACCCTCTTATGTCAAATACACTGAACTTAACCTTTAGACTTTTGTGTTAAATACAAATTACTAAATTACAAGAATCCTAATCAAATAATATATCAAAAATATTAAAACAAAAAATATAAAATATTTTAAAATCTTGTCCTACATTAGATTTGGACATCTCCTCTATGGTTCTATTATTTCTTTCCACCATTCTGTTTTGTTATGGAGTGTACCTAGCGGTAAGTTTCCTTTCCATACCATTATTCTCACAAATTTCATAAATTCATTTGAGTTGCATTCTCCGCCTCAATCACTTCTTAAAACTTTTATTAATTATTTTGCCTTTCAACAATATTTTGAATTTTTTTGAAGATAGAGAAAACTTTACTCTTTTGTCCCACGAAATACACCAAAGTCATCCTAGTAAAATCGTTAACAAAAATGATAAAGTACTTGTTACCTCCATGAGTTGGTGTATCCATAAGCCCACACACATTGGTGTAAACAAGTTCCAATGGTGCTTTAGCTCTCCATGCTTTCTCCTTTGGAAATGACTTCCGGTGATGCTTTTCGGGTGCACAACCTTCACAAACTTGTTGCACCTCATGAGTGGTTGGCAACCCAAAAACCATATTCTTTTGTTGTAGATTCTTCAAGCTTTGAAAATTCTAGTGTCGAAATCTTTTGTACCAAAGTCATGAATTATCAACCACATCCATCTTCTTTTATTATATTGAAAAATTAGAGGAAAACTTTTATTCTTCTCGGTCTTGATTTTTGCAACGACTCGACTTCTCCCCCCTTTGTCATAAATCTTGCAAGAGTCTTCTTCAAAATGAACAAAGTACCCATGCTTCATAAGTTGTCCAATGCTCGGCAAATTTTGCTACAAGTCTGGAACTAGGAGAACATCGAAGATGCATCTTGTACCCATCTTGGTCTCTATAGCAATAGTACCCTTTCCCTTTGTTTGGATTAAGGCACCATTTCCCATTTTTACTTGAAATTGGAGGAAGTATCCATCTTCACAAAAATGCTCTCATCTCCATTCATGTGATTACTACATGATCCACTATCAAGAAACCATAGATCCTTCTTTTGTTTCGATGCCGTATGAAAAGCATAGAACATGTGCCCTTCACTTTCTTGCTCATTGCAGAAATTAGCTTGCTGATTGGTCTTGACTTGGCAATCCGTTTTGACATGCCCAAATTTGTTGCAATGAAACCATTGTGGCTTTCCTGAAATGAACAATCTTTATCAAAATGACTGCTTCGGTTACAAACTTCGTACTTTTGTTGAGTAGACCCTTCATTTTTCCTTCTTTGAGATATATACATTCCTCTTCCTCTTGTATTTTTTCCTTGGGAATCAGAAGTGCCGACATTGAGCTCGAGCAGGGATCGAAAAACACTTTCAATTGACTTTTCAAATTGCTTACTCAACCTTTGCTCAAATGTTTTAATTGAACCCGTCAATTCTTCTATACTCAAATCAGCAAGATCTTTAGTTTCCTTAATGTTAGCAACAATAGGATTATATTTATCCGGAAAACTTATCAAAATTTTCTCAACAACTCTTTCATTAGAAATATCATCCCTATAAATTTTTATTTGATTCACAAGTTCCATAACTCTAGAAAAGTAATATTTCAACAATTATATATCTCTCATCTTTAAATTTTCAAAATCTTTTTGCAATGATTGAAGTTTGATGGTTCTTGCCTTCCAAGTTGCCTCTATACGCTTTTTGAAGAATATCCCATGCCTCCTTTGCTTTTGTAAAATTGATAATCCTTGGAAAGATTGCTTCTGAAAATCCTTGTTGAATCAATGAAAGAGCCTTTGTGTCCTTCTTCCTTTGCTCTTTCAATTGTCTCTTTTGGGCATTTGTCAAATTCCTTTCATCTTTGGGTTCATCAAATCCTTTTTCAACAAGATCCCAAAGATCCGTATAGATATAGATAGTTCTCATCTAAGAAGCATGGACACGAACACAACACGGACGCACATATTTTTAAAAAATGTAGGACATGACACGTCGGGGACGCTTGCAAAACATATAATTTTATATATTTATTATATGTCATATTCTTTAATATTTAATATGTATTTTATATCAAATGTTTAATTTTATCAAAGTTATCAACTTTAGGTATGTTATTTTAGTAAAAAAATAGTCTTGAATGTGTCCTTAATGTGTCCCTAGTGTGTCCCAATGTGTCCGCAACATGTCCCAAGTGTCCCAACGTGTCCAACACATGTCTGGTGTGTGTCTATGTCTGACATGTGTTGGACACCTGTACTTGACCTTCGGAGAGGCCTCTGTGCTTTATAGGTTCTCATTTTCACATACCAAAAGTCAAAATTTTCACCATCAAAGGTAGGAGTAGGTACGTTTTGGTTGTTGGAATTTGCCATGGTTGTTGGCTTCTTCGGGGATTGTTTTCCTGTATTCGATCTCTACAACCAGCTTATTCTTGACCCAACCAAGCTTTGATACCACTTCTCTTAGCTTTTGATAGAAATTTTCTCAAGGGGGGAATTTTATTGCTTTTTGTATTGATCTATTTTGCCATAGGCTTATATCCTTTTATATAGAAGGTCATAAGCAAGTTCCATGAAACATAAATAAGTTTCACGAACAAGATTTATGAACCTAGACAAACCTTTCAAATGATTAGGTACATGAAGAATGTAGACAATTAGAGACATGAATACAAAGAATGCAATTTATCCAATGTATGCCATTTATTTTAAAAGAATATACCTTTCACAAATTAATTTGAAGTCCATTACAACAACTAGCCCAATTCCACTAGAGGGCATCACAATGCTGATGAATTAACCCAAATACAGCATCAACTGAGCATTTGGAGCTTCAGGTTTTATGAAGATTATTTTGTTTCCCATTTCTTGGTTTAAATATTGATCCCTTTTCATGTACTCAAAGAAGCAGGATGAGTGGGGATTATATAAGATCATGTGAAGGATGATAATTCATGACTGTAAAGTTTTTATAGTCATTATGACTCGTGAACTTCTTGTACTTGTTTTCCTTTACCGTTGTTATTGTTCTTTTTGTGTAATTCATTGGGTAATTTTGCAGGTTGATTCTGTGTCATGCTATTGTAAAGTAGATTCAGGCTTGAAAACGGTTGTTGGGGCAAGAAAATTTGTTCCAGGGTCTAAGATATGCATCCAACCTGATATCAATCCTCATGCACACAAGACTAAAAACTCACGAAGGGAGAGAGCCAGATTTCAACCACCCCTCTTGCCAGGCCTTCCTGATGATCTTGCCATTGCTTGTCTGATTCGAGTCCCTCGTGTTGAACATAATAAACTTCGACTAGTTTGCAAGAGATGGTATCGCCTTCTGGCTGGAAACTTCTTTTATTCTCTTAGGAAAAGTCTTGGAATGGCAGAAGAGTGGGTTTATATCATTAAAAGAGACTGCGATGGGAGGATTTCTTGGCATGCTTTTGATCCCACATACCAGCTCTGGCACCCACTTCCACCTGTTCCCGGAGAATATAGTGAAGCTCTTGGATTTGGTTGTGCTGTTCTGAGTGGATGCCATCTGTACTTATTCGGAGGAAAAGATCCACTCAAGGGGTCTATGAGACGGGTCATTTTCTATAATGCTCGGACAAATAAATGGCACAGAGCACCAGATATGCTTCGGAAACGTCATTTTTTTGGTGCTTGTGTCATAAATAACTGCCTTTATGTGGCTGGTGGAGAATGTGAGGGAATCCAGAGAACTCTACGTTCTGCTGAAGTTTATGATCCCAACAAGAACCGCTGGAGCTTTATAGCAGATATGAGCACAGCTATGGTCCCTTTTATTGGAGTTGTATATGATGGGAAGTGGTTTGTAAAAGGACTAGGGTCCCACCGAGAGGTCCTTAGTGAAGCCTATATACCTGAAACTAATACCTGGACTCCAATCAGTGATGGGATGGTTGCTGGTTGGCGGAACCCTAGTTTGTCTTTGAATGGAAAGCTCTATGCTTTGGATTGTCATGATGGGTGCAAACTTAGGATTTTTGATGAAGCTACAAATTCTTGGGATAGATTTATAGATAGCAAACTCCATCTAGGGAATTCTCGTGCATTACAGGCTGCTGCTCTTGCCCCCCTTAATGGGAAGCTTTGTATCATCCGTAACAACATGAGCATCAGTATGGTTGATGTCTCTTGTCCTGATAAACGAGTTGAGAGTAACCCTCACCTTTGGGAAAATATTGCTGGGAAAGGTCACATCAGAACTCTTTTCACAAATTTATGGTCAAGTATAGCTGGGCGAGGAGGATTGAAAAGTCATATCGTGCACTGTCAGGTGCTTCAAGCGTGAGAATCAGCATTCATATTGCTTGTCATTGCTGACAAGATTGCTTCATTATCTTCATCTATCATGGCTGTGCTGCTACAGAGTGAAGTTGCATCACTTGATTGACATTGGGTTTTGCACCTTGTGAACAAAAAAATTGCATTTATTCTCTTTTGATGTACCGTTCTTACTTTTTGTGGAGAATGGATGAACAGGGATCTTCTGCTCATGTGGACTTAATTCTCACTTCACAAAGAGGTTCAGCTTGAAGAAATGAAAATGGGGATAGAATCATAGGTGCATTCAAAAATCAAGTTGGAAAAGCAACTTTAGTGGAACTTCATTGCCAGCTCTTGTATAAATTTCATCTGGAACTGATGCCATTTCATCATTCAGATGGTTCACATGTATTTACAAGGTGAGAGTGATTTACTGTTTCTTTTCTCAATAGATTTATGGGGATATTTCTTTACATTCATGAAGAGAGAGCGGATAGTTTTCAAACCTGTAAACCTTTTTCATTTGGTGATGGCCAGTGTGTTCTTTGCTTGTGGAATCTATCTTCTTACTTATTATGTAATTTTGGAGGTGCTGTGTGAATATACATGGATTATTATATATATAATCAATTACATTTAGATTAAACATCTTTGTGGCTATGATTCGGACCATTGCACTCATGTTGCTTGTTTTGTTTGTAATGGTTATTGGGTGATAGTATACATTTGGTTTAGAGCTGTGGATGACAAATGATTGTGGACTTTGTTGCTCAAGTTTTTTTTATTACCAATATCACATCAATGTATGCCCGAGCTGACATGGAAATGGAACGGAAAAAGATGAAATACAACATTTGATAGTCCATGTTAAAAGCTTTAAGAATTTATGGAGTAAAACATTCAGATCTACAGTTGATTTTTGTGTGTATTACTTCATCATAGACATTAGGGCAAATTTCACTTTATTTTCTTGTGGTTTGAGCCTTGTGTAATTTATTTCCTAATGCTGGAAATGATCACATAACCTCCACGTGGTTTGTGGACTAAAGTGTACCGTTAAAATTTTGTTGAAGCTAACAGTAAGTGAAATACGTGACAGACATATGAGGGTTATATGCGTATTTTTAAATTTAAAGGGGATAAATTGCATATGAAATAAAGTACAAGGGTTAAAGTGCACTTTTACCTTTCAAACAAATGACGAAAATACAAAGATATTTTAGTATTTTTCATTAAATCGTTAATAGATTTAACAGTGCACTTTAGTCCACAAACCACATGGGAGTTATATGGTCATTTCTAAACGTTAGGGGGTAAACCGTACATTATCCAAAACAAGGGGGTAAAGTGAAGGTTGCCCGAGACATTAAACTTGTATGCAGTAGGTTGTCTGAGGTTCACAAGCAATGGTGTTGCTAGAGCTCATGCTGTTGCCAAAGCTATCCTACCTGATTTTGCCTGTTATGTTTACTCTTAGTATTAATATATCCTATTTCTCCTTTTCTTCTTAAAAAATAAATAAATAATAAGTCTTGGTAAATACTAAAAATGACATGTTGAAATGAAAAAGGAAAGAAAATAACTGTATGGTGTAGTTGAGATACAGAAATGATGTATAATGTTTGCTGATTAAACTTGAAAGCTTGAAGAATTTTATTTCTCCAGACTCAACAGGACTCCTATTATTAAATATTTATATTGTTTATGTAATACAACATTAGCACCCCATTCCATTTTGGGTTTGATCCAGATATAACTATTTGGAAAGGAATTTCAGCAGCAGTTTATTTCTTATTGGAAGAACAGTTTGGAAGGATTCTGGACTTGGAGGACTCAGTAGTTCCGGGGAGCCATTCTCTCTCTCTGTGTCTGATGTTTGAGAGATTTTTCCTGCTGCTGAAACTTTATCCGATTGCGGAAGTTGTTGATGAAATCTTCTGCCAGTTTGTTTATGTCTCCTCTCTCATCATACTTTACCTCTGCAGCTATAGTTTCTCTTGCCATCATCATTTCCCTTCTCTTGGCGTCATTCTCAACCATATCAGTCCTTGAAGTTGTGGAGCTAACCTTTGAAGATACATCTTGACATTGATCATCCATTAGCAATGCTCTCTGTTGGTTGAGTTAATAAATGGCTTTACTAATGAAGAGATATATATATGCCTGGTATATTGAGAAGCTGTATATGGGTGCAATCTCAAAGGTGAAGCTTGAGTTTTGCATGGATAAAAGCGAGGGAAAGAACAAAAAAAGTTAAAATTACTATAGAAATATGCTTGTGTGGAAAAGGAAGAAAGAGCAGGAAAAGTTGTAAAAGTGTGAAATAATATTCTTGTTGACAAGTGAAGGCATTTATCGGTTGAGGAGGCAAGAAAGAATTCCTTATACCTTGTCATGAATTAAGGTCCTGTTTGTTTTCCCTTTTCTTTTCTGGATTAGCACCACTATAGGATTATTCATTGGTTTGGAGTTTTTAAAAATAATTTTCGAGTTTTTAATCGGTATATTTTTTTTAGTGATTTCTTTTAATATTTCAATTATTTTTTTATAAATTTTTTTAGATCCACTTAACTAAGATATACTTGAAAACTACACAATTTGTAATATAAAAAAAAAAATTAAAAAATTCATATATATATATATATATTTTGTTGATTGGCGAAAGTTAGTTATTAGATTAACATATATGGGAGTTAGTCTCTCCACCTTTACAAAGCACAAGTATTTGCCTCCTAATTTAACTTTTTCCAAGGGAGAAGGAGAGAATTGAACCCATAATTTTCCCTTCTAGGCTAAGCCTAATTGGTGAAAAGTCTATTTCTATGGGGTCATATGTTATTTAATTCAAGATTTAATCTTTTTTGGTGATAAGAATACGCGTTGAAAAGTGAACGAAAAAGTCAATAGCGCCAGAAAAGTTGTTGGGAAGAAAAAAAAAAAAAAACTAGAAAGTCACTGGCAATTGGTGGTGAGCGACGATGGTTGGTAGTGGTAAGGTGGACATATAAGTGATATTGACAGATATGTGAATAGATAGGTGAGACATATATAGATAAGGATGTGTTTGGCAAGGGCTTTTTCAGGTTTTTTTGGCTATTTTAGCCACAAAAAACAAAATAGGCTATTTTAGCCATAACAAACAAAACCAACCTATAATCATTACACTCTTCTCTCACAAAAAAAAGCCAAAAAGCCAAAAAGCCAAAAAGCCCTTCCCAAACCAAGCTTTTTAGCCCAGGCTAAAATAGCCAAAAAAGCCAAAAAGCCAAAAAGCCAACCCACTTCCCAAACGGAGGCTAAGTGACATTTGAATAGATAGTTGGACATATACCTGAAATGTGACATTTGAACAAATAGACAAATAAATAAGTTTTGAAATGATATATATCATTTTAGGTAGATAATATCTTTTTAGTTAAAAAATATTTAAATTTGAGCCTATTGTCCCGACAGTTTCAGAAATGAACATTTGAACTGAGTGCCTCCAAAAAAATGGAAAGAAAAATAACATACGCACAAAATAATAAAATGTGAAGTATATGATGAAAAGTCTTTAAAACTTTTTAGCACTGTGGCCAAATCCATAATAATAATATAATATAATAATAATAACATAAAAAAAAAACCAATACTAAAATTAAAATATATCGGTAAAGAATAAGTTTGTGTACCGAATAATGTGTAAATTTTGATGGACTTTATTTTGTATAGGATTGTAAGAGCATCCTCATTAAATTGGTTAATTTTTTGTTATATTTTAATTTAAAATTTATTTTTTATTTTTATTTTAGCTATATATATTTTAAATAAACTCTCCAACAAACTCTCTATTATTTTGTCATGTTATTTAAATCTTTTTTTTATTAATTTTAAATTTTAAATTATTTTTATAAAATCTACACATTTATAATTTCAAAATATCAAAAGTAATTACTCTGTTTGATTTCAGTTTTCAATATTCACTTTTAAGAAAATTCTACTTTTTCATTTTCTGTATTTTTTTTTGTTTTCACTGAATTTTTTTTAATATTTTAGGTAAATTTTTTTTAAAAATTTTTAGAACACTTAACAATAATACACTTAAAAAGTATAATATTTGTGAAAAAAATCTTTAAAAAATTTATCAAATATTAAAAATATAAAAATTCAGTACATTTTTTTTTGTATTTTTATATATTTATTAATTTTTTTAAATATTTTTTCACAAATATGTTTCTATTTAGATACATTTAAGTAAGGTGCATCTACAAAATTGAAAAAATTACTTAAAATTTTAAAAGTATTCACTAAAAACAAAAAATCAAATATTTGACTAGTTCAAACCACTAAACAAAACTAAAAGTATTCACTAAAAACAAAAAAAACACGAAAAACAAGAAAATCTAATTTAAAAAAAACTGAATTTAAAAAACTAAAATCAAATATTTTTTAATATTTGACTAGTTCAAACCACTAACTACATTTATTACGTCAAATTTATCAAAATTAAAATAGCTAAATTAATAACTAGTTGAGTGAAATAAAAATTTAATAATTTACTTAAAATTTTAACTAAAAAACATGATGAAAATCTAACGTGAATCTTGCTCAGCACAGCTGGATCGGCATGAGATGTTAATTTGATAAAGTATTATTAGACAAATGTTTGTTGCTGGTTTTGGCAACAAGTGCTTCAACGGATGTTATTTCTTGCTTTTTATTTGGTCATCCCTAATAGGGCACTTCTTTAGAATAATTTCCACAGTTACCAAACGTGGTTTCTTTAAAAAGTGTGCTATAAATTACCAGAGAATTAGATCCTCACCGGTTGGCTGTCTCACCTAGTTTGGTATCCCACCCAACTGGAAGTGTAATTTGATCCAAAATATTCATTTTACAAGACTTTTTAAGTAAATTATTCATATAAAAAATCAAATTGTTCGAATATCAAAAATTACTTGATCCAATCAATTTAAGATCTAATTATAAAAGTATTCAAAAGTTGCCAATGGTTATTATTACTATTCTTTTTTTACTAATATTTCTTATTATCAATATTCTTGATTACTAGTTTGGAGGCTTTTTTTTTTTTTAATTTTTTAATTTTATTTTTTAATCCTCACCCTAAAAAAACAAACGAGTCACACACACCATATTAAATGATGAATCAAATTTTTATTCAACTATCATATTTGTTTAAAAATAATTAACGGATAATATAATTTTGAAAGTAGTTCGTCTATTTTTCTTTGAATAAAGTATTAATTGGTACATCAATTAGTGTACTAATAGATGATTTGACATGATTTTAGAGGTTTGAACATTTGTAATTTGTATAATGAGTGGGGAAGTATTTTATGAATGGTAGTATGTGGCTAAGGTGAAGTGTCAGCTGAGGTGTCACGTGGCCTGGTCACGTTGTTGAGATGATCTCGGCTAGGCCGAGGTTATCTATGGAGATGTCGGAATAAGAGATAAGTGGATAAGGGACAAGAGTCTTGGAACAAAGGAGGATCTCAGTCTAGATAAAGATAAGGCTCAAGAAGAATTTATCTCTATCTAGTTAAGGGTCTAGGATGAGCATTGAGCCTGAGTCCATTGAAGTAAGGCTTCTAAAAGGATTAGGTCTGTCACACCCCCAACTCGCCCCTAAAAGTTCGGGCATGACC